TGATTGCTTTGTGTGTCTTTGAGTTTTGGGGAGTTTTTCCATATGGAAATTAAAATCCTTTGAAATTAATTTTTTGAGATTGGCACAATTTGTAAGTCCTTAAATATAGAGAAAATGCTGCCCAAGAGAAAATATGCAGGAACTGTTACCCAGGGTCTGTTTTGCCAAAAAGTCCCTTATCTGAGCTCAAAGTAGAAATTCAAGTACCAAAGTGCTTCCATTTTGGAAATGTCTTATGGCCATTGATCTTTCCCACATGGAGAATGCCTGACTGTACAGCAGTTTATTGAGGGGCTGCAGCACGTGATATTCTGGCAAGATGCACTTTCTGGTAAATTCATGACATTGAAAGAAAATTGTAGTTTTGTGAGGACAGTGCACTGCTCTTCCAAATCTCATTGTACACCATCTAGAGCTGCCTGGCTACTGCTTTTAAGATACAGAGAGTTTCAGAGATCATGAAAGCAAGTGTACTTTTGGCAAAATTATGGAGACATTCTGATTTTGTTTGTGAAGTGGTTTTGTGTTGTTTTGTTTAATTTTTATTTATTCTGAATTGTTTCAGATTTTCAAATTAATAGAGAGAAAAATGTTTAATTAAAAAACCCACACTTCAGCAAAGCTGTGAAGTGTATATATTAACAAAAAAACCCAGAAAAACAACAATACAAAAAACCCCAAACCATAACAAAGGCAGCAGAGTAACCTCTAGCCAAGTCTCCAGACTACATGGATAGCACAGATGTGAAGATGCTGCAGAGGAAACAGAAGAGATACCAATTACATTGCTCTGGGAACCTTATGTTCCAGCTATTACACAGAGATGCTGCAGAGACTCACTAACAGCACCACATAAATTTTATCTTTCATTTAGTCACCAAGATGCACATCATCAGTCCAGCATGAGAGAAGTTTTGCATTTCACTGAGTTACAATTGTCTTTAATTACATTGCCATCGTTTTTAATGTCATGAGGTGGAATCAAAGTTTATAGCCACACACATGTAGGAGACGTGAATCAGATCACTCCTCTGCACCAGTGCCACCCTCCTTCAAGGAAAAAAATCAGATTAAATACTTCTTAGTGTCAACTAGCATTAGAAATGAATCAGAATTTAAAACATGGATCACAAAGAAAGACAGTCATGTATAGAAAATGTTAAGTATAGAGATCAAGGTAAGTCTCTACATTATCTTTCTGTTAAAAGGGATATTTATTTAGTGCATTGGGACTTACTTTTAAAGGCTCAAACTCTCACTGAAGTTTGATCCATTTTGATCTTGGAATCGTTAGAATATTTCAGAGATGAAGTGTACACAGTTTGCTTATAACTGATGAAATCTGAGCCACAAACTTGACATGGTGATGTTTACACTCTAATATTGTGTTGTAGGTCTAATCCAGCTGGGACTCTCTTATATTGTCCGGAGCAGCTTTGTGCCACAAGTGACAAGCAAAAGCCTACTGAATTTAAAAATCCAAACAAAGGCTGCAGGACTAAACAGTGCTAGTTTTATTCAGATTTTCCCCATGGGATTAGTTTTCTCCCCTGACTGGGGAGACAGTACTTACCTTCCTAAACTTGCACTGTAACGTGGTGGTGTAGCAGGTTTGTGTCAAAGGAAGAGCCCTGTTGGTTGGGTTTAGCTAATCTATGTGCAGCCTACCAGTTCAGGTGGGATTGTATATCTTTTGACTGTTTGCATAATAGACACATTTTAAGATACATCTTTTAAATACCCGAATTCAGAGGCTTTTGCAGACTCGGGTTACATGAGACATTTCCTCTGAGTCAGTTCTAGAGGAATGGAAAAAGTGCCACTGCATTCCTGAAGGGAAGGTGCTGATCTTTTTAGTAAATCCAAGGTAGGATATTATTCTGGAAGAAAGAAAAATAACAGTTTTCACCCCATTCAAAATGAAATTAAACACTTGGGTTATTCTCAAAATAAGCTCTTCATATTGCCACCATATTGCTTGTTCTAATTTAAGTGCTTTCCAACATTCCTAACTACTGGTGGTGAGATCCAGAGGCAGCTGTTGCTGCCTTTGAGGGCTGTCCTGCTATCACAGGGTTGTATCATACTCCAATACTGCCTCATGCCTGCCTGGGAACGCCTTCAGCATGGAGAGGAACTTCCTGGCAGACTCCTAAATCTGCAGTAAGTCAGTGAAAGTAGTGCTGGTGGGGTTTAGGATGAGCACTGGTCTATGACAATGCAGTGGGCCCAGTTACAAAGACACTTGTTCAAGTCTAGTTGATGTTTAACAATTTAGAGCTGAGACAAATGTGAGTGATTTAGAACGTGCAGGGTTTATGATCTCTGGGTACAAATTACCACTTCTGCCAAGCTGAAAGGTAATACCATGGAACAAAACACCTCTTCCAATCCATGTGGCAGAAACAGAGGGCTTCCATTATTCTTCCTTGTGAGCAGTGGCATTTTGTATGGCGTGGGTTTTATAAGAATTTCTTCATATAACTGGGGGTAAGTGTGCAGTTGCAGATATATTACAGTTAAAAATTCAGTCACATCTCACATTCACTTATGAATATTTTGCATGAGTGCCGGTTAATTTGATATAGCTGAGAAATTAAAATGGGCTGAAAGCTGCTGAAATAGTCAGAAATGTTTCATATATATATATATATGACTTTCTTTATTTTCTCTTTTGGGCAGAGGAATATAATGTCTTAACTGATGAATAAGAGACTATAAAGATCAATAATTCATATATTACCAGTTTGTATACAAAATAGCAAATTAGCAAGTTATTTTATTTTTACCTGAAGTATCTGAAGGAATTTGCTGCTCTTGTTCAATTGGAAAAATGTTAACCTCAAGTTTCTGCGATGAATAGGGAAGAGAAATCTATTGCTGCAACGATACTTGAAATTGTAATGGAACTGTCTTAGTTGACAATTGCCAAGAAATTATGCAATACTGTAGATCAAATCTAACTTAATAGGGAACAAATGGCCTGAATTACCTGAATATTACAACTGAAATAGCAACTCAACTGATGTGTGCACAGGCAATAAACTAGTCATAGTTGTCTTAGTGATGTACAAGTACCAAAGATTTTAGTGCAAATAGATACTAAACATGCTTTCAGAATGTTCCATGAAGCCTGAGCTTCCTCTTCATAACAAAATGCTGCATCAGTACCATTTGGAATAGAATTCATGAAGAAAATCTGGGAATTCTGAAATACAAACCAGTGACTCGTATCATCCTTTCTTTGTCTGGACTATGGACTAATGATTGCCCTACATTTCAAAATGTTCACACGGATGTTTAGATTTTCCCTGAAATGTTTAATACAGTTTAAGGCAGTGGGAGAGAGCACTATTTTTCAAGCTTTCTGAAATACAATCTGTAGAAAAAGACCGAATTCCTCCACCTACTTAATGCATATATATACTTATGTATAGACTATTACTCTTTTTCCACTGGTATTTAGAAAGAATGTCTCTGACCATTTGCTTTCAGAGATTTCATTGACTGCCAGTACTTAGAATTTTTCCATTTATGGAGTTCTCTTTTACAGGGGACAAAAAAAGTGAGAGAAACTTCAGCTCTGTATGTGAGAGTATGCCATGATGCCACTTCTTGTGGCAAGCTCCACAGATACACAGATGTGCCCATTAGACAGCAGAGCTGAATAGTTTTGTGAGTTCAGAATAATTAAGTATTTGCATCTCCATATTAATATGACATTCTTACTTTGTGTGGTAACTTGGCTGGACTTGACCAAATGAGAAAGACATGAACCTGTTAGAGCAACGAGGAGAAAGGCCTTGAAAATGGTCAAAGGGCAGGAGCATCTCTCCTGTGGAGACAGACTGAGAGAGTTGGGATTGTTCAGTCTGGAGAAGGCTCCAGGAAGATCTTACCTTTCAGTGCTTAAGGGGTCCTATCACAAAGGCACATGGAAACATTTTACCAAGGTCTGTGGCAAAAGAACAAGAGAGTAAACTGGAAGAGAGTAGATTTAAATTGGATATAAGAAAGAAATTTTTTCCTATAAGGATGGTGAAGCACTGGCACAGGTTGCCCAGGAAAGCTGTGTATGCCCTATCCCTGGAATTGTTCAGGACCAGGTTGGATGGGACTTTGCACAACCTGGTTTAGTGGAAGGTGTCCCTGCCCGTGGCAGGAGGGATGGACTAAATGATCTTTGAAGATCCCTTCCAACTCTAACCATTCTATGATTCGGTGAAAATATGAACTGCAAAGATAGCTGAAATACATGTTTTTAATTATTGCTGCTTGTTTGGGTTTTCTCTGAAGCAGGTTGCAAACACCATAATTAATTGGATTTAAAAAATTAAATGCTCCAGTTGAGCAGCATAGTGGTATGTATGGAACAAACAGGTGGCTGCCTAAGGCAAGGGATTGTTTAAATATTGTGGGCTGTGAGACATCTGCATAAGAAAAACCACAGATTAGTCAGATCTGGCTGAAAGCATGAGCAGTACTCAGCTGTAACTTCCTGTCATTAATACTTAACAAAATTAGTGAGATGCTTGAAGACAAAAAGTGGCACTACAGATGTGTTATATTAGACTGATGTATATAGCCTGGTCCTTAGAGATACTTGTTCTGTATCACAAAACAATGAAATGTGACCAAACTCTGTGGAGCAGACAGCCTCATCCCTGTACAGTCAGCCTGTAGTCTGTCACAGGGACATGGACATTGGAGATCCAGACTGACACCAATTAGCACTTCTTGTCAGGGTATGTATGTACCCCATGCTTGTGGGACTCTAGCAGCACTAGTGTTACTTAATTGATCCTGGCACTCTTATAAAAAGAGGGCCAAAATCCAAGTTTTTTTCATACAGTAACTTGTTGATGCCAAGTTCAGAATGTTTTTTGGCCTTAGACAGTGACCTTTGAGAACAATGTGTCATTTAAAATTACATAACTCCCTTCACTTTTTTAATCATGACTGAATCTTGTTGGGGTTTTTTTGTTGTTGTTTTTTTTCAGACTGGGACAAACGGATTGAATATAAACCTGGCTCTGGAAGCATCCCCTTGTTTCCCAGCATTCATCTAGAAACATGTGATGGACCAGTTTCCTCAATACACACCACCATTGAATTGCAGACCAACTACATTGGAAAGGGCTGTGATCGTGAAACGTACTCAGAAAAGTCTCTGCAGAAATTATGTGGTATGAATATGTTTTTCAGTTGAGATAATAATATTTTTTCCAGATAAAGCACCAATTCCTTGTGACCTGTAAGCATGCAGTACTTGGGTTTAGCTCAGCTGGTTCATTTCAGATTGCAGCAATGAAAATATAGAGAGTGGTGATATTTGACGGGTGCTCTGTTCTTCTTTTCCATGTTTTCAAGTCTTTTTCATAATTTCTCCCTGCTGATTTTTTTCTCTCCTGCTCCAATTCCTTTTTCTATTTTTCTCCTTCCTCATTCTACCTCTTTCTCCTTCTTTCTTCCCTCTGCTACAAATACTGGTGTGACAGTGTAGTGAGATTTCAGGTGTAGATTTGCCATCATAGGAAGACTGTGGGATTTGCAGGGAATTGAATCTCTATGTTTTGTTTGAGTCTTCCTGACTCAGCTTTCTGTTCTGCTAGGTGCTGTGCCAGAGTACAAACAAACAAAAAGTAAAAGAATATTTTGGGCAATCATTTTAGCAAAAATATCTAAGAAACATGAATTTCAGCTAAGAGTTGGCCAGTGGAGAAATGTTTCCTAATTATTTTCTTTCCTTTTCGTGCTTTTTAATAACTTGGTGTAAAACATACATATTATATTTGAAAGATAGATTCAGTACTTGAAGATACTGCTGTATGTTTTCAGACTTCAAGATTCTGTACATGGCAAAGCAATGGCTACATATTAAGCCTTTCGGCTTTTGAGATCTGCTGTTTCTCCTTCTCCTCTAAAATTCTGTTTTCTTAGAGTCCTCATCTGAAGCCCTGATGGTGTGGAACATTAGTTCTCATCTTCTCCACAATGTGTCTTTCCCTGTCTCCTGTCTGAGCTACGGTAGCAATTGTACAATTTTTTTCCATTTCAATGCTTGGATTTTGGCCTGAGGTGCTCTGGTGTGTGGCTTACATCTGCTTTGATGACCACACAGATATGTTAAGGTCAATACACTAACCTTTATGAAATAATTTTGTAAATGAAAATTATCAGTCAACGTTACTAAATTATAAAAAATGGAGACCAAGTCCCAGGGAAAAATATTTTGTGGTTATGATTACAAATTACTAGTGGAGATGGGGGAAGTAAGTAAAGGTTAATAGGAATAATAGCATTGTCATAAAAGCTGAATGTTTTAAACCTGAAAATTGCTTAGTTAAGATTACAGAAACAATCACAATTATAATCCTGTATCTTTTTCCATCTGACTGGGATCCTAGAAAAGCAGATGAGAACCCATCTGCCAACGGTATGCATCTTCATCCTGTTAATAAGATTAAATCTGAGAGGCTGACCAAGACTTGATTTCATAAAATACTATCATTTAAATAAAAATAAATATGTTGTAGCTAAAGTGAAGTACTTTTGCCTCCTCTAAGAACCTGTATTGGCAGAAAAAGGAGCATTGCTTTATCCTGTTACAGACCTGAACTGCAAATGGCAGTCATTCAGAACAGGACCTAAAGCACCAAATCATTACCTTGACATAAAACACTATATCCAACCACATTATCATTGTAAGTGTAGGGCTGAAAGTAGGTACCTTCAGCTGCTGTAAAATTCCTTAATTGAGGAAGGTTGTGCAAAGCCTAAGGGGTTCAGTTGGCAGTGTGGCTTCACTGCCTTACCTGCTGACACGTCAGCAATAGAAAAGAGAACTGCAAGTCTTTCTCTTTTCTCCTGAATAAACCAGGTGTTTCCCAATACTAGTCCAACTATAATTCATAGTCTGCACCATGTGTAGGCCTAAGCTGGTGAAAAGCAGAATGATCAAAACCATTTCAGTAGGTCTGTCAATGCCATTGTAGTAGTTGCAGGCAGGAGGACAGAAGTTACTGATGAACTTCCAGCTTTTGCTCAGCACATCCATGAAGGAACAGAATAAAAAACACTTGAGAAAATAGATAGTGTAAAAGTATATGTAAATAGGGGAAAAAAAATCTCACTGCTGAAAAAATATTTTTTTTTGTTCAAGTTTTCTATATCTTCATAGAGAGCAGACATGCTAGAAACTTGTAATAGGACTTGGATAAAAAGGCTGTAAGTGACAATGTGCTTTACATCAGAATTGCACTTAGACTGGCTTGCACTTCGGTATTTAAAATTTTTTACCAGCCTTAAGGTAGAGAGAACTCCTGCAAGAGCACGTTACATTATTTCTAGAAGTCGTTTTTCTCCCAGAAATTACCTTATTGTAACTAATGCCTGGGTGCTAAAATTCTTTGAAAAAGAAGAAAAGCCTGAATTTTTTTCTGCCAGCAAAAAAATCATTGTGCAGTTGCAGAGAGTGCAGCACTGAGTGATCACACACAGATCTGTGCTGTAGAAAATGCAGGGCTCTCTCTGTATAGTTAAAGACCCAGTTTATAAATCCTGCGCTCATTTCTTCATTTATCTGTTGGAAATCTGGAGAATACAGATGCTGAGGACAGTACATTAAAATTCATCGTTGTATAGTGTATGGTTTAAGTCTGCTTTTCCATAACTCCGTGATTTGCACTCACTTTGATGGTCAGGGTGGGCAGCTTAAATGATTAAATTACACTTGAGTCATTTTTAAAGTCAAGGAGTTATTATTGTTGTGCCTCAAAGCATTTTAGTAGGCATTTTTTCACCTTCTCATCTGACAATAATAAAAAGTAAAGACTGTCTAAAAGGCACAATTTGGACTGCAAAAACATGGAGAATAAATCACACTAAAACCAAGAATTGGTTAAAGAGCCTGGAATCTAGTGGAAAGATGGGTATGGTGCTGTCTTCTTTCCTTCTAAATGTAGATAAAATAGAAAATAATGGGATTGCTAATTTTCACCTATGGCAATTGGGAAACTGAAACATAGCCATGCTCCGGGTAAGATTCTGCCCTCTCTCTTTTATCCTGGGTTGTGTAGCTTTGCAAGAAGCTCAAAGAAAATTGATCTGATCAAAAAGTATAATTTAGGCTTGGTGTTGTTGGCTGATTAGCTTCAAGCTCAGCCAGGAGGCTGGTCCAATTCAGCAGGCAGCATCACTCTGTGCTTATCCTGGCACAAAGTTTGGAGCCCAAATATGCAGGACTGGGAGAGGAGGTGGGGCCAACTGCATAAATTGCTTGTGAAAACAAGGACTTTAATATGCAAGGGTTACCTCGAGGGTGTCAGTCCAAAACTGTGCTTCATCAGTGGCTCCTGCATTATTCTGGAAGCATTGTAGAAGAGAAGGACATCAGTCACTACATTTTTGGAGTGCACTGATCCATGGCATGACAAGACTGTTCTGGGAACGCCTCCAGATACATCCTGCTTGCACTGCTCCAGGTCTGTCTGTGTACATGGCCGAGCAGCCTGGGACTCTGGCTGGATTTATGAAGATAGAAAAAGCATATTTATTCCAGCTAAATCTCCCAAGCACATAATCCAGTGGTTTTTCGCAGGGCAGGATTAACACACACTAACAGGATGAGATTCCAAACTAACCCGTAAATCTCCATAAAAATATGGGCAGATAAAGTAGAACCTGTTGAGCTCTGTACTGATTACCCAAATGCTCTTACACAAGCCTGTCCTTAAGTTGGGAAAATAAAGTAGTTTACCTGGGCAGCTTGACAAATCAGAGTTTAACAAGCTGTATGGGAGTGTTCAAGGCCAGGTTGGGTGGGGCTAGTGGGAGGTGTCCCTGCCATGGCAGGGGGATTGGAACAAGATGATCTTTAAGGACTGGTCCAACCCAAACCATTCTATGGTTCTGTGAATATGAGAGAATTCCATTTTGGAGTTTCCCCTCAGATTCATTCTGTTGGAAAGAATAGATCTTTCCAAATTTTCGTGGCCAGAGTAGATAGAGTGAAAGATGAAGCTTATTTACACCCATAATTTACCTAATATAAGCATATGCCCATTTAAAAGCATATTTCCTTTGATAATACACCATGGTGCAAGGAATTTCTGGTCCTTCTGTAAGTTTAAAAAAATGAACATAAAAATTAGCACAAAAGACTATTGAGTGTGAAAATGATGATGTTTCTTGTGCTCTGTGCAAATAATTTTATTTTTTAGTGACTTGAGTGAAAGAAAACAAAACACAGTTTGTCACAAATTGTGCCATCTGGATAAACTGAGTTTGATGTATTCCTGTTGGTAACATCGGGGTATTTAAGCAATGCAGTGTGGTGTATTATCCAGAATTACAATTTATAAAAGAAATACACTTTGTGCTCAAACTCTAAGCATGTAGGTGTTAGGTTTGATATTGCTATCACTTCAAAATAGCCTCATTTTACAGTAATAAATTTTGGAGAATTGTCAAGGCATTCAGTTACTGAGTGATGTGAATGTTTTCATATCATTACTATAATACCTTTTTAAAAATCCATATGATACATTTCCACACTCTCTTGGCTTAAAATTTTGCACTCCTGCAGAGAGCTGGGATCTTTTTTCTCTCCTTGGATGCTGAAGGAGGGAAGAGTATCTTAGGTGTCTTAGCAGGGGATTTTTTATGCAGTCGTGGTTTGTTCACCATATTCTTACTCGACAAAGCATCAACAAGAATACGAAGATTGTTTGTGCTTTTTACTCTTGGAATCACATTTTCTGCTAAATGCTGTCTTTCCCCAGCGAGGTAAATGCTCTGGGTAGCTCCTTACATGTTTTTAATAGTGCCTGACAGTTGTTAAGCTGTAAGAAAACACAAGCTGTAAAGAAATGTGCTATTTTATCAGGGCTCGGCACCACCGTGTTTTCCATCTCAGTCCATCATTAGATAAGAACACATGGAGTTACAACCATCAAGTATGTGCCATAAACCAACCTTAAAGTGATATTATCTGTTTTAGAGTGAATGCTACATATGTACTCACATTCATACCAATTTTATTGTGAATATCTGTGGCTGTCTACTGGACATTACGTGACTTGTCACCTGCATTTTACAGCACATCATCCCCACATACCATGTATCTTCATACTGTCAGAGAAGAAAGATTAATGAAGAAAATTTGGGTTTAGTCTTAGAAGTTCTTGAAATAACTGAAGAAATGTCATCAGTGAATTATAGAAAATAATGAAAATTTCCAAGAAAGATAACTTTACAAAATTTTCTCTAGTTTTCTGTGCAATACCTTTAATCTAGAAAAATCTTGCTGCTTTACAATGGTTGATATTTTAGAATGTTTATGTGGTTTGGCATCGAAGCTAATAGGACCATTTGGGTATTAAAAATAATCTAAAGAGTGGGAATCAGAATCTTGGCCTATATTACATTAATCTTCACAGCTTTTTCATTAGTTTCTCATCCTGTTACTCATTATATGTAATTTGCAGGAGCTTCCTCCGGTGCCATTGACCTGTTACCATCTCCCAGTACAACAACTAACTGGACAGCTGGGCTTGTCATGGATAGCAATGACATAATTTTTAAATTTGATGGAAAGCAAGGAGCGAAAATCCCAGATGGAATAGTCCCGAAAAATTTAACTGATCAATTCACCATCACTTTGTGGATGAAACATGGACCTAGTCCTGGATTAAGAGCTGAGAAAGAGACTATTCTCTGCAACTCTGACAAGACAGGTGAGTCTATGTGTTGAAAAAATGTTATGCAAAGGGAATATCAACATTAGTAGATTGTTACCATCTCTCCTCATTTAATTTGGTCTGAGAAAAAAGCTGGGTTGGTGCCACCCTAAGCATCACTGACTTAAGAGCTTACTGGGGAGACTGATGACTGCCTAAATATCAAACACTGGTTCTCCTCTTGGGTAACACAGCTGTAGATTTTCAGAGAATCACAGAATATGCTGAGTTGGAAGGGACCACAAGGGTCATTGAGTCCAACTCCTGGCCCTGCACAGGACCATTCCCAAGTCGCACCATGTGCCCGAGAGTGCTGTTCAAACGCTCCTTGAACTCTGTCAGGCTTGGTGCTGTGCCCACTGCCCTGGGGAGCCTGTTCAGTGCCCAACCACCCTCTGGGGGAAAAACCATTTTCTAATATCCAACCTAAACTTCCTCTGACACAATTTCAGGCCATTCCCTCGGGTCCTGTCGCTGGTCACCACAGACAAGAGATCAGTGTCTGCCCCTCCTCTTTGCCTCATGAGGAAGTTGTAACTGCAATGAGGTCTCCCCTCAGTCTCCTCTTCTCCAAGCTAAACAGACCAAGTCCCCTCAGCCATCCCTCATAAAGCTTCCCCCCAAGGCCCTTCACCATCTTCATTCCCCTGCTTTGGATACTCTAATAGCTTAATATTTTATAGGAATATAAAGTAGTTCTTTTGGTGGTTTGTTTTTTTTTTTTTTATTATTTGGTTGGGATTTGTCTTTTATGTGTATAATGCTTTCAAACACATTCCCCTAACCCAAAGTGTTGGTGATGGTTCAGGTCACTGATGGTGTCGGTCCCTCCTTTCAGAGATGAACAGGCACCACTACGCCCTGTACGTGCACAACTGCAGACTCGTGTTCCTGCTGCGCAAGGACTTCGACCAGGCCGACACCTTCCGGCCTGCCGAATTCCACTGGAAACTGGATCAGGTACCCTGCTCCTCTCTTCTCTGTATCCCCCTCTCCAAACCATAGAGAACAACTCCAATCCCACCATAGCTGCCCTGGGAAATCTGAAGTCTGTTGCAGTTATGCTGCAATCTGTAACTGTTACCACTCCAGTTGGGATCCACATAAAAAGATCTAAATGAGTTAACTTGGTTGAGTCATTTTATACACTAGGGTTTTTAATTGAATCATTTTAAATGGTAAGTAGAGGTTTATATCCTTTGGCAGTGGATAGAGACATGACATTGCATATAGTTCCCTAAAAGTTTTCCATTTATAATTTTTTAAAATCTGATTTATCAGCACAATGGAAGTGATGGAAACCTTTTCAGTAAAGACTATGCTGACACACAGGCATTTGTAATGTAGTGTAAAGCCAATCTGCAGACTTCTTTCATCTGCTGTGCTGTATATAATGTCTCCTTATTATTAAGAGTATATCACAAGAAAATTATTATCAAAGAGATAAGAGTTGCCTTTCATAGTTTTATTAATCTTAAGCAGGATAAAGATCATTTAGATAAAAGGAGACAGACTTCAGCAAAGCAGCATTTTCTCAAAGCAAGTTTTTTCATGTTTCTGAGTCCAAACTATGATATTGAAGATGTAGATATATAGGAATGTTTACTTTTCTAATTCAGCTTCTAAATATATATATCAAAATTTGATCTTCATTGTGATTATCAGATGAGTATGGTAAGAAAGCATGTGATGACCATAGTACTTGCTTTGCATTTACACTGACCAGTCTGGAATCAGTTTTTGCTGTACTTCATATGAATTCTTACAGTGCCTCAAAGCAAATTTATAATAAATCATGTTGAAGATTGCAAGTCAGGAGTAACTGATGTCACCTCAGATAGTGCTGTTCTGAGCACTGAAGATGGATTTCTATTTTTAAACTCTTTGCTAAGCATCTAAATTAATGATAATACAAAGTTTGTGTTATCAGTCAGTGCAGTCAGCTTTAATAACCTTACAGTGAGAATGTCCTCTCAACAACTGAAATTTGTGTGTAACTCTTGTAACTTGGTCATGAACCTCCCTAACTTCTACTGAAAACTCCTACATGATAGAAACTACAGGTAGAAAAGATTTTTTAGGTCACATGATTGATTTCCTTTCATTTGGCTACTGTCAGTTGATTTCCACTGTATATTTTCAGCTGGTCTTTCTAGCTGAAAAAGAAAGTAAGATTAAAGTATAAATAAAGTTTTTTATGGGTTGTGTGACCAGACTTCCATGAAGATAAATTTATACTGTCTTGGTGATACTGCTGTAAGTTTTGTCATGAAGGGACCTCATAATGGTTGCTTCTTTACTTCTTCTTCATGCTCCATCTGCCCTATACGGTGGAGTAAATTAAAAGAAACTGAAAATAAAACATATGTGAATAGTGGGCTGGTAAGGAACTTGCATGGTTTTGAAGACAAGGCAGTCAGAAGCTTTCACTTCCAAGTAGTAAAATTATGCAAGCTACTAATTATATACCCAGAATGATCTACCTTAGGAAGCACAGGATATTTTAAAAGCACATCAAAAAACAAGTTATGATCCCATTCAATATGAAAAGAAGCTAGGCTAAACTTAAAAAAGTAGATTTAAGTGTTCTAGATGGTAAATTTGCGTACTTAGATGTTGAAATACCTCTGGAAACCTCATCTTAAGAACGGTTCCTTCTGTAGTGGCATATCCTCAGATTCCTCGTTGTTGCTTTTTGTTTTTCCAAGAAAAACCTGGGAATTAGGCCCTACCTAAGTGCTGTCCATGCTCTGACCATCTGCACTGTGATGCAGGATGCTGTGGATGGCGTTGCATGTATGTATTGAAGACAATGCCACAGCTGGTAGGAAGCACAGACATAGCACAGTAAAAGAGCACTTTATTGCTGAGCTCACTTTATGAGCCTGACAACAATCCATAGCTTGTTTTTGCTGAGGGGAATCTGGTGACCTTGGAATAGGGTGAAGCATGAACTAGTGAAATCATTTATCATTCTTACTGTGGAACAGTAAAATTTATGACACCAGCTGCTTTGGGCTCTATCTACTCCACAAGACTACTCATTGTTTCAAGGCACTGACCAAGAAGGTGAGCTTATTGTCATTCCAAGTTTAATTTAATTTTCTAGCTCTCATTTCTGTGGTGGATGTGTATGGCACACAGCTTAGTAGCAGACTCCATTCTTGGCTGAGTACGAGGATCCATGTAACATTTTATGTAGTTACACCTAAGCAGTGCATCTGAAGCCTCATGTTACCACATGACCATAACAGTCTTGCATAAAAGTGCCTGAAACCTTTACACAGTAGTGACTGCCAAGTTATCTCCAGGAAGATTGTGTCTTTAAGTTAGTTCATAAACCTAAGGACTTACTTGCAGTGTGGCTTTCAGTGTATTTAGCCCTATTTGTCACATTAGACTGAATGGCCTTTGCAAGGTGAATTTTTCCCCAACAACTGCAGCAGAAGCCCAGGTAGAGGTGGTTCCTTCCCTTTACTTATTCCAGTTTCCTTGGAAATGCAGGTGTTACCTTTGTTTCAGAATCATGACCTTATTCCTGAGTTTCCCATGCAAAGGTTTAAATTGAGTATCATGATCTGGGTTTTTTTTGTGATTTCTTTTCTCATATTTAACTATTAGACACTTTTTAAACCCGAGACCTCATTACAAAAAGTTTTGTTACCAAAGTCAGTAAAAGGCACCTAAATCACTATCTAATTGTCTCAAATGGATAGAAAGATAGATGCGATTTTAAGTGAATTATTTGGGCAGACAACTATACATTTGGGCCATCTAATAATAATATATAAAATATAAAAACTGTTTCTTTGAAATTCTTGGAAAGCTGTGAACCAAATCAGAATAATAGTTTGGATAATGAACCAAGGCATTCAAGTATTTGGTGACAGTGGAAAACATACCATTAAATAGGACAATGCACAATTTATTTCACACTCTGTTCATCACGGATATTACATTTTTCATACAAATATGAGGATAGTCAAGCCAAAAGGCGTTTCTCCTTCCCCCAAATCAATAAAATAGGAACACTTTTTTTTTAGTGGAAGAAGGCATCTGAGCCAGAAATTAACAATTTTTTCACGTACTTATTTTTATTCACAATGGAAAATTATTTTCAGGATGTTATCACTCTGAAAATAGTCTTCCAGCCCACAGGCAAAATTGGTATTGATCCCATTAAAAAACAGGGAATGTGCTGCATGATCTGGAGTCATTCTAAGTCAGCAAAAAATTGATAAACATGCAGAAAGTTACTGTTTCTTTTCTAAGATGAAATAAATTGCTTTGAATAATCCAAAATAAACCTGCAGTGCTTTTAATTGTGCAAAAGCCCCAAACACTCACTTGTAAAACAGGAAGTAGAGAAAGAGGTTTAGATAAATCTGAATATGCTGCAGTCTGTGTCTGTGTGAGCACGTGGATGCTGAAGGATCAAGGCAAGGCCTCCAGTTGCATTTAATCACTTCACCGAGCACACACACACAAGTAGGGTCTTTACCCACAAAAAGAGCCATGTCCAGTCAAGCCCTTCATCCCCAGCTGCTGTGCAAGGACATTATAGACAAGGAACTGACTTCTGAAGAAATCGATATTACATGCTAAGAGAGTAAAGTGACATTGATTTGGTATCTGGACTTTTTTTTTTTAAACAACAGCATTTTTCTGAGTGAAAGTTGTTCTTATATGCTGGATTTTTAGAAACTGATTAGTTGTGTGCATCTGGTTTTCAGAACACCATTCACATCAGGAAAACTGTAAGTGGCCTCCCTCTCAGAGAGAGAGAAAACGAGTGAATATTGAGGGACAGAACACGGTATTCTCAGTCCTAGAGGGTTAAGGGTTCACCAAGGAGACAGGGTGGTGCAAGTTTCCATCATCTCTGTGCATGAAATTTCCCCTCTTAGATAAGAGACCTCAGGCTTGCCAGTCCCACACTTTCCAACATGCACTGCTTTATGCATACACCTTTAATAAAACTACGGAGAGAAATCAGATTTTTTCCTATAGAACCAGTAAGAGAGAAATGATAAATGAATCACACTAATCCTGCAACAGAGATGAAATAATTCCAGAACTTAAAAAGTCTTTGCCAAATTTTTATTCAGCATCTTGCTTCAAAACAGTTTTTGGTAGCACAAGGATGAGTCACTAGTGCTGATAAATTCCCGAAAATTTTCTTTGAGATCCCAACTGAAAGAAGCTCCTTTAATATATGTTTTTAATGGAACTGCTGCATCACTGCTAATAACAAAATCTTTACAAACTGCTCCCAGTGGCTGTCCAGAACTTGCTTTATGACATACAAATTTCCTTTGGGCCAGCTCTGAAGTATTGCCTACCGATTGATCTGGTGATGTGCATTTCTGATTTCTGCAGTCCAGCCCAGTGTGAAAGGCACTGACTGCTCTGTGCTTCTGTAAAACTTCTGCAACCCTTAAGGAGCAACCAAGCTGAGTATTTTATCATTTCTGTATTTTCATTTGCTAGAAATTACTTGGATATGTTTCTGGTTTTATGTTCTGTATTTTGCAATTGTCTCAATTTTTTGACCGTGGCAGCTTTATTACAATGGTTTGGGATTTCCAGACCTGTCTGTGCTGTCCTACTGTTCCCAAAGACTTAAGATGAGTGAGGACAATTCTCATGAAAATGATACCTGTTATGTGTTGTCTTTTGGCTCTTACATGGGAAAGTGTTCTTCAGATATGTAGTTATGGTTGTTATCAAGGGAAGTTAGAACTACTGCAACCACTAAGCCCTTTAGACCCTAAGACACCTACTTTTTTTGATCAAATCAGACCAAAAAAAAAAAAAAAAGGAAGGAAATTCTGCACAGAATAAAAAGGAATTTAAAACTGGCTGTAGTATCATGAGATAATAACAAGTATAATGCTCTTTCAGCACACTCTGGGAAGGCCCCAAAAATTCTTAGAGAATATCTTGATAGGGAGTTATTG